ATCGGAGATTGTGCAAAAAAATGTTGAATGAATTTTATACTATTAAATAAAATTGTATGCATATTGAATTAATCTTAACAAGTGTTGTGCATTTATAAATGTGTAATTTAAATTGTTATTTATAGTATGAGAAAAATTATTATTAGGAAAAATTTCAGTCGTACCCCTCTTAGTTTACTATATTTTCAAGGACACCCCCTCTATAATAAAAAAACATCAGTGACACATTTTTTAGTTTATATTTAAACATCACTGACACTCCCTACTATTAAACTACCATTTTTAGCCAAAAATGGTAGAAAATACCAAAAATGCTCTTACATAAACTTCAAGTAATGTTTCTACATAAAATTTTATTAAAATTCAAATTGATTAAAATTTATTTTTTTATATATTAAAATTTAAACCAATTAAAATTCAATTGAAACTGATTAAATTTTTATTTTTTAATGTATTAAAATTTGAGTTGATTTGAAATCTACTCAAGTTGTTAGCGCCTATTAAAATTCACTTTCGAGTTGATTAAAATTTTATATTTTTTTACTTATTAAAATTAGTATCAATTAAAATTTGATTTATTAAAATTTGAGTCAATTAAAATTTATATTTTTTTATCTATTAAAAATTGTGTTGATTAAAATTCAATACGAATTGATTAAAATTTGATTTGAGTCGATTAAAAATAATTTTTAATTTGCCCAAATAGAATTTTAATTAGCCCAAATTTTAATACATAAAAAATATAATTTTTAATCGGCTCAAATTTTAATGGGAAAATTGTAAAAATGTACACTTTATCATACTTATTTGTGTAAAAATACTTTAATATAAAATATTTGTATATAAGTACCTTTATGTGTAAATGTTTGGTGAAGAAGTACACTTTTGTTGAGTTGTAATTTTTTTTCTTATGAAATTGTCCTTTTTCCTTTATTAGCAGGAGACAAATATGACAGTTATATTAAGGATTCAATTTCCTAAATTTATGGAATATTATTTTTGAATTTTAAATTATATCTTTCTCTTTCATTCAACACTAGTTATTCAAACATTCATGTATTTTTCATATTTCTATAATATTTTTTTTATAAATCGTAATAATTAAAATGAAGATTCTGATTCGGAGGATGATTTGCTGTCTCACACGATAATGTTACAGTGTTACGAGACAATGTTACATTGGTATTATAAAATGTCACACTGCTACAATGTCCTCCATTTTTTTTTTTTTAATTTTTATAAAAAAAATTGTTATAGTCTTTTAATGTCAATCGTGTTCATGTGAGGATAAATGTCAATGATGATAACTCAAAGGGGATGATCGTAATAATCAAAATGATGATTCTGATTAGGAGGATGATTTGTTGCTTCGTACGATAATGTCACAGTGCTACAAGACAATATTATAATAGTACTAAAAAATGTCACAGTATTACAAACCAACTTTACACTCCTAGAAACTAATGTCACATTATTTCAAATTAATGTCACGCTACATATATTTACATGACGCATATCACAATGTATATAGCCTCTTTGATTTTTTTTTTTAACAAATGATCGAACACTTGGTGTGCATGTAATACCAAGCACTAGAAGTATAAAAGTAATTGAGGGAAAAAAAGTAAATAAATAAAAATATTGGGAGAAACAATATTTTTCTTGAGTTATCAACTTCTTTTCAAAAAAATTCAAAATTCAACGACTCCCATCTTTCTCCATCCTTCTGTTACAGTCACTCTCATTCAAACTTTTATTTAAATTGTTCTCACCCAGATGGATCTTTTACTGAAACCACATTGCCCTTTAATGTAACCAAGAAATGTTAATGAATCGGATTCCAATCCATATCCAAAATTGTGTGATTGAGTTGGTTCTTCGTTACTAAAAAAATTTATAACCACTCTCATCCTTCTCCATCCTTAAACTACAAAGGTGAAGATTTGGATAGTGAAGTTTTGAAAAAATCCTTTCTTCAGCAATGATTAACAGAAAGTTTTGAACATTTAAAAAGAGATTTTATGAAAGTTTTTGGAAGAATGAGGTTTTCGGCAAATATTGAAGGAATTTATGTGTAACTGTTGAGATCCCTTAAGTTTTGGTTGTGGAAGCAAAAATATAAGAATCGGTTTCCATTCTACTGAAGAGGGTATTTTAGAGATTTGTTAAGGGTTGTGTACTTTTTGACCTATATTTTTAAAAATAGTATTTTTTGTCCTATAATTTCTAAAAAGGGTACTAGCCCCCTTAAAACCCAATTTTAATATGTAAAAAAAAAAAATTAATTAGCATGAATCGAATTTTAATCGGTCTGAATTTTAATACATAAAAAAAAATTAGAAAATAGAGGGGGTCTTATTGAAAACATGCTTATCTAGAGGGGGTGTGAATAAAGTTTGTCCTCAAATATATCATGGATAATTTAATAAAATTATATTTTAGTTAATATTTTTAATATGATAGAGGGTGTCAGTGAAAATTTAAAAAATAAAGGGCGTGTCCTTGAAAATATAGTAAACTAGAGGGAATGTAGTTGAAATTTTCCCTTATTATTATTTTTACTATTATTTGATCCATGTATGCAATATATAGAATCAATTACCAAAGTGCGATAGTTTGACTTTAACAGCATATAATTTTGAACTTATTTACAAAATTAAAATATTTTTTAAAAGTGGCGCCAATATCTCCGTTTTCAAAAGAAATCGTAATTGTGTAAGGAGGATGCTCAATAAAAGTGTGGCCACTATGAAACATGGTTTTTAACCATACTTTTTAATAAAACATGGTCTTTGACCGGGGTGTCAAAATATTCGCGATAACATGTCACCATTTTAATACGGTATTACCGATCAATAGTATACAGACAAATAAAAAAGTGAATTTTGCACAAGTTAATAACTACTGGTTCATGTAAGTAAATAACTATCTACTATTTTTTTTTATGTAAGTTAATAACTGCCTAAGTGAGATTCATTTTATTCATTTGATATTTGATTATTGGTTGATAATACTATGTTATTAATGCCGACACGATATTACCATGATATTGAATATTTTCTCCAAAAAATGACACGATTGGTTAACACTACATAAAATTAAAGAGATTGAGTCTTCCTTAAACCACATGTTTTTACAATTAATAAATAAATTAGGTATAAGTGAAACTAATTAAAAAACATACACGATTCGATTCGTTTATAAATGAGTTATATATACGATCTATACACAACATGAACTCGATACGAGACAACTTGTTAGATAAAAATTAATAATCGAATCGATCATGTGTGAAATAGACAAATTAACAGGTTCGTATAAAATTTTAGTAAATTTAAATCAAAAAATATTACTGTAATTCCATAAATAAGTTTAAAACTAAATTTGTTTAAAAAGTGGTGTAATCTGCGAATTGATTCGCATTATATTAGGACTTTTGAGGGGGTTGGTATCTTGACCAAAAAAAAAAAAAAAGAGGGTTGGTATCTGTCATCTATTCACACCACCAAGAATGTCAGACCACACGCCACATTCAGAGCGCGTCAGCCTACGCAACAAGCATAGGAAATTCAGCATTTTTCGCAGATCTACCACACCCACCTACTCCTTCAATCCCTTCTATAAATAACCCAATCACCACCCATTGCAAACTCGCGTCGGCCCCTTGTTCTCTCTCTATCTCCCCCTCAGAGAACCAGTCTCAGACCCCTCCGGTTCTACCTCTTCCCTAAGGTACGCCATGTCTCCCACGTCTCTATGCTTCTCTCACACCACCACTCGTTTCCCTGTATTTGTAATGCTAAGTTCTGTCTCTGCTTATTGCTCTAAATATCACCTCTAACGTTTTCACTCTCTCTCTCTTCCCAATCTGTTCTTTCTCTAATACCCATATTTGTTTACTGGTTTTTGAAGTCTGTGAAGTTGGTATTTAGTTTCTTATGCAGTTCTTGCTCTTTTCTCTTCGAATTGCAACCCCTATTTTGTTTTTCCCGCTTAGATCTAGTGGTAAGGGTCTTTAATGTAGTCGATCTGATATTATTCTTTCCTTTACAAGTGTATAGTAGTGACATTGCTGACATGACATCTAAAATCGAGCGGTTGGTTAGGGTCAATTCTTGCTATACGGATCACATATATGTGGGTAGGCTTGTATGTCTGCTTTATATCCATTTGTTTGAATGTCCATGTGGTAGATCTAGCGTTTTAGCTTATTTGGACTTGGAGATCTACTATTGAATCTTTGCTCTTGGGTAAATCTAAGATGAAGTGGCTATTAAATGCTTTGGATCCAATTAGATCTGTTGGCATTATATGTCGATTCCATGTTCTGAACAAGTACTCTGCTTCATTCATTATATCTACACTTTCTTTTACTGGTTTTTTTTAATACTCATTGTATTCACTTAATTGAAGTCCTTCATCTGCTTGGCAATTTCTGAATTTATTTGTCCCTTCTCATTGTTTATTTGTTCGGTAATATTATGTTTGCTAAGTTTCTTACCTTTTTCATCCCAAGTGATCCTGCATAATCTCTATCATTATTGAATATTAATGGGACCTACTTATTTGATATGAAAATTGTGTTACATCACATGAGATCGAAAACTTAGTAAGATTAGTCGGCATAACATTGTTGTTATTTATTATCTAGGTTTCACTACACCCTTTACCTTCTTTACATATGATAGGTCGTACCTAAATTGTAATTTGTCTTGTTAGGTCTTGTTTGTTTGGCATTTTGCAACAACTTATAACTGTTTTGAAAGCAAAAAGTTAGTGCTTTTTTGATAATTACTATAAGAGAAGGCATTTTAGAAATTGTTACACAATGATGGTTGTAATTGAGTTGTTATAAAATGAATTCAAATTATGGGAATTCATTTTCTAGATTTATAATTTTTGTGCGCACATATATTCTTGACTTTTGTTGGGTAATGTAAGCAATTTTGAATGAAGGTGATTAATTTTTTTTTGATATATTGACTTCACCAGAAAGATGGCGTCTCACATTGTTGGATACCCTCGCATGGGCCCAAAGAGAGAGCTGAAATTTGCATTGGAATCTTTCTGGGATAAGAAGAGCAGTTCCGAGGAGTTGCAAAAGGTGGCAACTGATCTCAGATCATCCATATGGAAGCAGATGGCTGATGCTGGCATCAAGTACATCCCTAGCAACACATTCTCTTACTATGACCAGGTACTTGATACAACTGCAATGCTCGGTGCTGTCCCACCAAGATACAACTGGACCAGTGGAGAGATTGGATTTGACATTTACTTCTCTATGGCTAGAGGAAATGCCTCTGTACCCGCCATGGAAATGACCAAGTGGTTTGACACCAACTAGTAAGTGATGGATCAATCCTCTCAATGTTCTCTTTATTGGGATGTTTGATGCCTTATATACTGATAATGGTTTATGATTTTTGTGATAATGTAGCCATTTTATTGTCCCCGAATTGGGACCTGATGTGAAGTTTTCTTATGCTTCTCACAAAGCAGTGACTGAATACAAGGAAGCTAAAGCGGTATGTGATCTGAGCACGTGCTATTTTTTTGTGGAGAAGAAATTATAGAAAATTTCTTTCGTTTGTGCTAGTGGAATATTTTTTTAATTCCCTGATCTGAACATGCATGATCATTAATGAAGATAAGTTGCATAGACATGAGATCATTAGGGTTGAGTCAGTTGTTGCCATAGGTTTAAGTTATGAAGTTCTGGATTTGGCATGAAATGGAAAATTTTTTCCCAAGTTTAATGGATCTCATATATTACGTAGTTAAGTTGTTCATCAAGGTCATATAACAACTGTAATATAACAAATAGTTGCTATGGTTTCACAGAGTTGGCGATAATTCAATTTTCTTGTCTTTCTTTCTTTTTCCTTTTACATTGAGTATAACTGTTGGTTTGTTTGTATTCTGTTAATGTGAAAATATAACTCAGATCTTGACTCTTTCTCGCATGCAGCTTGGAGTCGACACCGTTCCAGTCCTTGTTGGACCTGTCAGCTACTTATTGCTATCTAAACCTGCAAAGGGTGTTGATAAATCTTTTTCTCTTCTCTCCCTTCTTGACAAAATCCTTCCAATCTATAAGTAAGAAAGTAAAATTTTCTCTTAATACTTGTTCATGCGACTCCTTTAATTTGCCACTATAATAGAAATATATATGTGCAGGGAAGTTGTCTCTGAGTTAAAGGCAGCTGGTGCTTCGTGGATTCAGTTTGATGAGCCCACCCTTGTCAAGGATCTTGAGTCTCATGAGTTGCAAGTATTCACTAAGGCCTACTCTGAGCTAGAATCAACATTGTCTGGTGTGAATGTCNCGAGGAGGAATATGTTAAGGCCATCAAGGAGGAAATTAACAAAGTTGTCAAGCTCCAGGNCCCTTGTCAAGGATCTTGAGTCTCATGAGTTGCAAGTATTCACTAAGGCCTACTCTGAGCTAGAATCAACATTGTCTGGTGTGAATGTCCTCGTCGAGACCTACTTTGCTGATGTTCCTGCTGAGGCATTTAAAACTCTCACTGCTCTGAAGGGTGTTACTGCCTTTGGCTTTGATTTGGTTCGTGGAACTAAGACTCTTGATTTGATCAAGGGAGGTTTCCCTTCTGGCAAATACCTCTTCGGTGGTGTGGTTGATGGGAGGAACATCTGGGCCAATGATCTTGCTTCATCTCTCAGCGTCTTGCAGTCCCTTGAGGGCATCGTTGGAAAAGGTATCATTGTTCCAGGGTTATGTTACACAAATATGTAGTCTGTTGCTGCGGAAAGTTCACTCTTTTCACGATTCTGCTTTGCAGACAAGCTCGTGGTCTCAACCTCCTGCTCGCTTCTCCACACTGCTGTTGATCTAATTAATGAGCCTAAGCTGGACAAGGAAATTAAGTCATGGCTCGCATTTGCTGCTCAAAAGGTTGTTGAAGTGAATGCCTTGGCAAAGGCATTGTCTGGTCATAAGGATGAGGTACTCTTTATTTTTACCTTGAGAGATGTTTATAATTTTGATGTATGATTTTCCGTTGTATTTTTGTGCCTTTTATAATGATACAGACATTGCATATCTGACTGTTATGGTTTTATTTCAGGGTTTCTTCTCTGCTAATGCTGCAGCTCAGGCTTCAAGGAAGTCCTCTCCTAGGGTGACCAATGAAGCTGTTCAGAAGGCTGTAGGTGTTTGGACTCCTCTTCTTTTAACCACTTTCAGGTGGCTTTACTGAATGAATCATTCCGTGCTTAGCAACGGCTTAATTGTTTTTGGTTTTCCAGGCTGCCGCTTTGAAGGGATCGGACCACCGCCGTGCTACAAATGTTAGCGCCAGACTAGATGCTCAACAGAAGAAGCTTAACCTTCCAATCCTCCCTACCACCACCATTGGATCTTTCCCCCAAACAATGGAACTCAGAAAAGTTCGCCGTGAATACAAGGCTAAGAAGTGGGTGTTTTCTTCACTTCTTGCTTTTCGTCATAGAAGACTTGTCTTCAAATCTTTGTTCTAAGGATGTGGTATTTTCTGTAGGATTTCCGAGGAGGAATATGTTAAGGCCATCAAGGAGGAAATTAACAAAGTTGTCAAGCTCCAGGAAGAGCTCGATATTGATGTCCTGGTTCATGGAGAGCCAGAGGTAAGTCAATTAATGGGCCTATCCTATGACTACTGAGTGTTTGAAATAGTTCCTTTATCCTCTAGATCTAGCAGACAACATGCACTTGAAGGATTCTAACGCCCTTATCAAATCTTCATTTCTTGTATTTCAGAGGAATGACATGGTTGAGTACTTCGGAGAACAGCTGTCTGGTTTTGCCTTCACTGCTAATGGATGGGTGCAATCTTATGGATCTCGCTGTGTGAAGCCACCCATCATCTATGGTGATGTGAG